GGGGAGGTGCTCCAGCCCCCAATCATCTTTGTGGCCCTCCTCTGGACCCTCTTTAAGCTTCAGAAGGGTTCCCCAACACCCCCAGCGATACCACCCCATACCCCATGGCACCCACGTGCTTCTCAATGAAGCTCCTCCACTCAAGGGTGGTGCAGAACTGCTGGAAGTCCTCATAGAACGTGGGGCTGCCATTGGTGGGAGGCAACGAGGGCAGGAACTGCTGCAACTGCAGAGTCTCGTAGCACTGGTCCATGAGCGTGCGCACAATGGGCACCAGCCAGGAGAAGGTCTCTGATTTGGCATCCAGTGAACGCTGCAGTGGGGTCTCCAGCTTGCCCAGCAGGTAGCAAGCTTCATCTTTTTTGGGTGCTGTGGAAGTCTGCAGCAAACTGTGCAACTTCACATAGGCCAGTGAGTGCAGCTTAGGGGAGGGGACACAGAAGATGGGGCATTAGATGCAGCCACCCAAAAGTGCTGAAGTCTGCTCCAGAGCCCAGGGAAGGGGGTGACCTACCTGGGGGTCCTGCAGCAGGATGTAGCCCACCAGGATGCGCAGCCCTGTCTGCGCCATCTCCTTGAGGTCAGAGGTGCCATTGGCTGGGTGGTACCAGACGCCCAGCTTGTCTAGCAGGCTGCTCACCCCCTCATAGATCTGGGGCGGGGGGGAAGGGGGACACAGTGAGTCCTCACAGAGCCAACAGGTCTGTCCCCAACTCCCAGACATCACTGATGTGCGTTTGCATTATGGGCAGGGGATGGGATGAGGGTTGAGGTTAGGGCAGGGGGATTAGGTTAGAGCATGCTTAGCATCAGGATAGCAGGTTGAGGCTTAGGGTGTGGGCTCATAGTAATGGTGTAGGGCTAAGATTAAGTGTTAAGATTGGGATTAGGTCTAATTAGATTTCCAGGTTATGAGTTAGGGCTGGGGTTTAGAATATAGGGGTAGGGTTATGGGTCTGGTTATAGGTTTTAAATGAGGGACGGTGTATAGGAAGAGATAGGACTAGGTATAGGGTTTGGGCACATGGTAGTTGTGTAGGGTTAAGGGGTTAGGATGAAGGTTTAGGGCTAGGTGATAGGATTGAGGTTAACAGTAAGACTGTAGTGTTAGGGTAAAGGTTTAGGACCAGGTTTAGAGGTCAGATTTATAGGTTATGGGCTAGGACAAGGTTTTAGAATTAAAGCACGGATTAGTTTCTAGGATTAGGTTTACAGGCTACAGGCTAAGGGCAGGGTTGAAGGTCAAGGGTTAACAGGGTTAGTGGTTAGCATTAGGGTTAGGTTTACAACAGGGTGCTCTGTTAGATTTAGGGTTAAAACCTATGGTTAGAGCTGGGGCTTATGGCAAGAGCGTACGGCTGGGGCTTAGGTTTAGGGTTAGTTTTAGAGGCTGGGGCTGGATTTACAGGTTATGGTTTAGGTTTTAGGATTAGGCCATGCATTATTTACTAGGGTTAGGCTTGTGGTCTACAGGTTAGGGGCTGGGTTTAGGGTCAGGGCTGATTCCAGGGTTAGAGACTAGCACAAAGGTGTAGGGTTCAACCTGGGACCCTGCCTGCAGCCACACACCTTCTCACTCCACAAGGCCTGGTTGTTGTGTCCCTCAGAGAACAAGAAGTCCTGGAGCAGCCGCAGCAGCTTGAGTGCATTGTGGGTGAGGCCAGGCAGTGCAGCTGGCCCTGACTCCTTCAGATCCGTCAGCGCTGACTCCAGCATCATCTCCAGCAAGCTGTGGGACAGCAGGTGGCTCTGCAGGGTGGCCACCACCCCAGAACAGCCCCACAGTACACCCACAGAGCCTGTATTCCCCCAGCAAACCTGCGCTTGATCTCATCAGGAGACCGCACCAGCTCACACGCCGTGCCCAGCTTGGTGAGGACGGAGAAGACCTGGCCACGCTCCCTCCATGCTGCATCATCCCAGCCCTCCACCCCGCGCCACGTCACCGAGAAGATGATGTTGGTCAGGAGGTTGCACAGCTCCTCCTCAGGCGTTTGCTACCAGGGGAGGGGGAAAAGCATTAGAGATTCCCAACAGTTATCACCTTTTTGGGCAGTGCTATGGATTCAGGGCTCACCTGGGGGTTGCTGGTGTTGGAGATGTTGTCACTGGGCAGAGCGTCCTGGTAGCTGCTCTCATCCAGCACGTTGGAGAGGCTGGAGCTCTTGCGGTTTCGCATTCCTGGAAAGGGTTTGAAGCTCTCCAGGGGTGAAGGGGTTCCAGGGCCGCTGGCAGGTGTCTGTGCACCACTTTCGGCTGTGGCAATGGAGCTGGTGCTGGCCAGGTCGAGCCCCAGGTCGAAGGGTGAGGTGGAGAAAGGTGAGAGTGGGTGGTAGACACCATCAAAGGGGACATCCCCAGGATTGGAGGAAGAGCGGCTCGCCCGGTCGGAGGAGTCGAAGGACTTGAAGTTGTAGGAGTGGAAGGACTTGATGCGACCGCTGGGTGAGATGGAGTGGTCAGAGAAGCCCTCAGAGAGCTCCTGGTCCGAGGCTTCGTATCCCAGTGGCAGGAAGACGTCCAGCTCCTGCAGGTCAGCTGGCAGCGGGCTCATGCTGCCCACGTTGTCCTTGCCCACCTCAGTCTCCTTGCTGGGGTGGTCTGTGAAGCGGAGGAGCTCAAGGCAGCCCCCACTGCCTGAGTGGCTGAGGCTGTGCTGGCGGGACTCGTAGGACTCTTTGACGTACAACTTGGTGAGTGTGTCCTGCCACCCTGCCAGCCTGGCCAGCTGCCTCACCATGTCCTGCTGTGCGTAGATCAAGTGGAAGAGCTGCAGAAGGAGAAGAGGGATCCAATGGAGTCACCTCAGCTCCTCTCAGGGTAGCTGGACCCTGTGAATGGCGGGGGATGGATGGTCACCAATGTCTCTGCTCACCTTGCGGCAGATATCGAGCCGAACGGTCAGGTCAGCCCGGTGGGACAGATAAACCACAGCCACCAGGTCCTTGTAGTTAGGAGGATCTGCATGCAAGGAGAGAGGGCTTTTTGTCTCCCGAAGTCACAAAAGGCCCCCAGGCTTACCCCCAGCCAGCTGAGCCCCGTGGTAAGCCAACAGGATGGCCCTTGTGGTCTGATTCAGGATGGGACAGGGTGGATTTGGGCAGGACACACGGTACCTGCCCCAAGGACCTGCTCTGAGAGGCAGCGGAAGAGCAACATGGAACTGGGGATGTCGCTGAGGCAGGCAATGAGCCCCTGGTACCCAATGTCCTTCAACTTCAGGCGGCTCTTGCAGCGCTCAGGGACCTTCTCATACTTCAACATCTTGTAGAGCACCTGGCAAGGTAGAGAGCGGAGGTGATGCTGTTGTAAGGATGCCCCCAGCCTCAAGGGACAATACCAGAGACATGTCTCACCCTGAAGACTCTTTCCCGCACTTCATCTGAGAACTTCTTCTGTACCAACAGTGAGAAGAGGACTTCCACATGGCCTGGCTCAAAGAGGAAGGCAAAAAGCTGCTCCTGGGAGGGTGAGCCCTTCAGCAGGCTGTGTATCACCTCCAGCGCTCCACAGACCTACAGGCAATAGGGATGGCTGCATGCTGTCCTCCATGCACCCCACCAGAACCTCAGTGCTTTTTCCCCACTTGCCTGTTGACCACTGCCAAGAGCAGGGCCAGCCCTACTTGTCTGGGGACAATGTTAAGGGTGGTATGGTGGGACCTGGATGGCCAGAAGTCATACCTGTTGCTCATCCTGTGCTGCGGCCACATAGTTTAGCAAGCTCTGCATCTCCTCCCCAGAGAAGCTCCTGCAGAAGAAATCCTTCACCAGGCTGAAGAGGGATGTCTGTACCGTTTTGATGTCATCAGTAGCCGTGGACTTCTCCCTGGAGGAACTGAGGAAGAGATGCATGTGGAGGATGCCCCATCCCTGCATACACTCAGGATCAGGCTGGACAGGGCTCTGAGCAACCTAATCAAGTTGTAGGTGTTCCTGTTCACTGCAGGGGAGTTGGATCAGATGGCCTTTAGGGGTCCCTTCCAACTCATATTCTATGATGCTCCCTATGAGTAGTACACAGCCAGCCTCTTTCTCCTTATCACTCATCATCAGCACAACCCCAAATCCCAACATGAAGCCTGAGCAGCTCCTGGACAGTGAACATCCCTTCAGACCAACTGTGCACACAAGAAAACATTTACCCCATGTATTGGGTCTCTGAAGGGACAAGGCACAGGGAGCAGAAGCACCTACCACAATGCTTCCATGATACGCTTGCAAGGAGAATATAATCCCAAACAAAAGCATCTAACCCAATGTGCAGCTCCCAGAGACCAAGCCCACCATGGTGCTAGTGTCTGGGGGATAGATACCCCAGTTATAAGCATCAGCTCACCCATAGTATGTCCGGATGGAGTCGAGGACGTATTGTACCCCATATTTCTTGCGGATGCGCTGCTTGTGGTCCTTGACGACATTGGCCAGGTACTGGATGTGACCTGCATGGAGAGGCCATGAATGGTCCTGGTGGCCACACCACCATCCCAGGCATCCCTATAGATGCCCCTGCTCCCACCTAAGCGGACAGCAAAGTCACTGTTGCTCCAGATGCGGAAATCAAAGAGGAGATGCTGGTAGAGGAGGTGCAGCAGCAGTCCGCTGCCCTCAGAGGCCACTTGCTCCATCAGGATCTGCGAGGCCATCAGCGTGCTCATGTCCAGCAGTGGGCTAGACACCTGCCCAGGGTAAGAGGGGAGGTTTGTAGCATGGGGAGTGACCCAGGATGGAGCCTGATAGCTGTGACAGCCCCCACCTTCTGCAGCAGCGCACCGATGATGGCCGGCCCGTGGCACTGCACCAGGCTCTCCTGGTTCACTGGGTGGTTGCGGATGAAGTTCTTCACCAGCAGCAGGAAGGCAGCCACACTGTTCCTTTCCAGCCTGCTCTCTGTAAGGCACAGGGCAGAGCTGGGAGCCATCAGCCCTGCTCCTTGCGGGCTCCTTCCCACCTCTGACAATGATGGGCATCCTGGTGATGTTATCACTGACTTTTCTCCATGTACTTGCCATCCCATTCACCCATTTCCCTCCAACTTAACTGAGTATAAACCTCAGCTGCTCTGAGCTCCCTGAAAGTTAGTGGGGAGAAATCTCACTTTTCCTATGGGGGGTAAGGCTTCTGCATGAACCTAAGTCTACGATAAGACATCAGAGACTAAAAGCAAAATCAAAACTGGAGGTAAGCATGCTTGAACCACCTTCATCTTCCCAGAACTTCTCACTTATAACTAATTTGGTCACAGTAACCTGAAAATACGTCAGCAACAGCAAGGTTTCTCCATAATACCATAAATCTTGGTGTTCTGGGCAAGACAATACCAGCCAGGCATAGGCAGCATCTATGTGGCAGTGGGGTTACCCCCAGTCACCTGAGCAGTGTGGCTCCTGCCCCACACCCCCTCAGAGTCCTCACCTGAGGACCTGCCCAGTGGGATGAGCATGCCCTGGGCGTTCCTGGAGGATGTCAGCTCTGGCCCTACCAGGTCATTGGTCTCTTGCTCGTCCTCGGATTCATCCTTCTTGGTCACCACTTGCTCGAGCAGGGGCAGCAAGACACCCATCCCACCTACACAGTTGACCACATCCTGCCAAGAGAAGTGAGAAGCTTTGCTGTGTGCTCCCGAGTGCTGCATGGTGATGGTTGTGTACGGAAGGCAGCTGCATATCCACCCAGAGCCAGGGATGCACAGGACCTATCCTGTCCAAGGCACAAGGCTCTATGGCCAGCAAAGAGTGAAGTATGCCTTGACCTATCCTACAGCATGCACCTCCAACAGGTTGCTCAGACACGTGTTCCCCTGCAGTAACCATCCATGGAGCCCAGTCTGGACAATGAGAGCGCACAAAGCACAGAGGTCCTTGGGAGGGCCATGGAATAGCTGGACTTTGGTGGACCCATAGGTTCTTGCTGGAACCAATACCACGTAGTTCCCCAGTTCCCCTGCTGGGGAACTACCATGGCCACGTAACACCCCACAAAAGTCCTGTCCTGAACCCAAAGGTACCCTAGGTCATGGGGGTCAGGATGGGCCACCCGGCACCCAACATACCTTGACATCCCAGTTGACCACCTTATGCCCCGTCAGCCTCCCGTCCAAACCATGGCTGGGAGAGAGGTCCAGGCAGATGTTATTTCTGCAGGCCTAGAAGAGAGCATTCCAATCTATGAAGACAGTGGATGCTTGGTGGGCACAGGTCAAAAAGGAAATTAAAAGAGGGAATATTTAGAATAGATATTAGAAGAACATTCTTTACTCAGAGAGTGGTGAGGCACTGGAATGGGTTGCTGTGGATGTCCCATACCTGGCAGTCCTCAGGGCCAGTATGGCTGGGGACTGGGGCAACCTGATCTGGTGAGTGGTGACCCTGCCCATGGCAGGGGTTGGAAGTGGACGGGCTGTAAGGTCTCTTCCAACTCAAACCAGTCTGTGTTTTTATAGTTCTATGATATGATCAGGGTGAGACTCAAGAAATCTCAGTGGGAAAAGATGGGAAGGGATGGACATGGGGCTCAACATCCCTCATACAGAGGAAGATCCTGGTGAGTGCAGGCAAAGTGAGAGCATCTTCATGGGTCTGTCCTCACCTGTGGGGTGTAGTACAGCAGGAGCTTACTGCTGAGCTCCACAAGGTCACCTTCCAGTGTAAACGGAGATGCAATGTTTGGACCTGAGCAAAGAAAGAGGGGTCAGTGGGGAAGGGCTGGAGATGCGTTTGCCACCAGAAGCCTCACTGATGTGTCCAGCCCCTACGTACCCAGGCAGAAGAGTGCCTTGACTTGGGTTTGCTGCAGCACTTCACAAAAGATAGCCACAGAGCCCAGGTGGCCCTCGAGGGAAGTAGGGGTGCCCCACTCAGTATCCTGGCTGCCAGCTGCTGTGGTGGACACCACTCCCTCGGTGGGAGGCTGCAGGGGGGTCCAGGCATGGGGTCCCAGGGTGGCAGGGAAGGACTGTGAGCGGCAGAGCACGGGGTGTGGGGGGAAGGTCAGCTCCAGCCCATGGGATGGTGGTGGGTGGCTGCTGCTGGAGGCCGTTGTGGTGGTGCGGTGCCCCGCAGAGCCAATGCAGCAGGAGGTGAAGGACTGTATGGGAGAAGAGATCATGGAATCATTTCAAGAAAAGACCTTTAAGGTCATGAAGTCCAACTGTGAACCCAGAACTGCCATGTCTAGCTCAATACCATAGCTCCCTCTGCACCACATTTATAAGTCTTTTAAATACTTTCAGGGATGGTGACTCAAATTACTTCCTTGGGCAACCTGTTCCAATTCTACACAACCCTTTCAGCAAAGAAGTTCTTCCTAATATCCAACCTAAATCTCCCCTACCTTAAGGCCACTACCTCTTGTCCTATAATTTAGATCATAAATAGATCGTTAAGGCTCAAAAAGACCTCTGAGATCACTAAGTCCAATCCCAGCCCACCCCCAGTAAACCATGCCCCCAAATGCCCAAGTCTCCACAATTCTTAAACACCTCCAGGGATGGTGACTCCACCACTTCCCTGGGCAGCCTGTTAAGGAGCAGTGTTCAGTTCCCAGCCAATGTCACAGAGAAGGATGATGCAGTGCTGGGGAGGGCCCTGACCTCGTGCAGAGATGGGAAGCGGAGCTGTGCTGTCTTCCGTAGGTGTCCATCTGCGTAGATGCTGACCACATTCTGGCCAAAAGGCCGACGGCCAGCAACATGGACAATGTCAATGCAGTGCTGTGGGGATAAGCAAGAGGTGTGAGGGGTATCCCCCATCATGAGGACGGTGATGGGGACATCACTCACCCAGGATGAGTCGTTGAAGGCCACCTCCGGCAGTGCCACCGTCATGTAGTCCTTTTTGGTGCAGACAGCTACCACCAGCATGCCGTCAGTGGTGAAGAAAGCCTCGAAGCCCGTCCCACTGGCTGTGAAGAAGCTGGAGAGAGGACAGCGCAGTGGAGACAGTTGCATCTTACCATCCTCACCCTCCTCACCTTACCACCCCATCCTCACCATCCTCACCTGTAGAGTTGCCTCCTCTTCAGCCTCGCCGGTGGCCCGAACTCCTCCTCACTGAGGCAGAGCCAAGCATGGAAGGCAAAGGCACCTCCAGGCCACTTCTGGACGGCAGGCACCATGATCCCTGCCATGCCAGGTGTCAGGTCGAAGTATTGCAGTGCCCGTGGGGGTCCCTCAGCCCGTGCCATTCCCGAGAGCACCCGCAGCACTGGTGCTGTGTAGGGGTGGGCACCCCTGCCCCGTTCACGCCGCAGCAGCCTCAACAGCTGCCGCAGCTCACCAGGCCGGATGGAAAGCCTGCCCAGAACACGTAGCAACTCCAGCAGGTTTTCAGAGCAGGCAGGTGGAAGTGCTGGCTCTGAGGCCAGAGCAGCCAGCAGGCTGCCCACCATGCCTGCCTTGACGCAGGTGAGGCGGCTGGGCAGAGAGGCCTCGCATAGCTGCCGCAGCCGCTCTGAGAGGTAGAGCTGCAGCTCACGGCATGCCAGTGCTGGAAGCCAGGCCAGGAGCAGGAGCAGGGGCTGCTCATTGCGGATGGGGCGTGCTGGTAAGGAGCTGTGGTCACCTTCTACTGCCTGTCAGAATACAGAAGATGGTTGGTGAAGTCCCCACCATATGGAGAGAGAGATGGATCCTCTCCTAGCCATTCTGGATATGTGATGGAGACCCCTATGCACTAAGCACCCTGGGAGACACTTGTGAGCCAAGTGTCTTCGGAGGCCCTTGTGCATCAATCATTTTGGGGGCCCCCCATGCTTCAAGTGTGTTGGAGATCCTCATGCACCATGTATCTTCCAAGATACTCCCTTTCACAAGACTCCCCTTCACAAGGCATCTTGGGAGAGCCTCATACATGAAGACTTTTGGGAGACCTCCCTACATCAAGTGTCTTGGAGACCCTCTGCAAAGCAAGCCCCTTTGTGCACCAAGGTTTCTGGGGAACCCCCTGCACCAAGACTCTTGGAGACCCTCGTGCAACAAATGACAGACATTCCTGTGCACCAAGCACCTGGGGAGAACCTCCTGCACTGCACCTTGAAGACCCCTACACACCCACCCAGCAGTCCCAGAGCAAAGAGCACAGCATTCAAACAGGCTCGAATCTCCCCAAAGCCGAGCATGATTCAAAGTCGAAGACGGTGTGACCACCTTAAGAGGGGGACCCAGTGGGGATTGGAGATGAGAGAGAGGGCTGAGATCAGCCTAGCTGCTCCACCGAGGTGCCAGAACAGAGTATTTTGCTTGGAGTGAAGGAGAAGGCTTATGGGAGATGGGAAGGCTTCTGGATTAGCCAAGGGAGTGTTTACCATGTTGAGGAGCTCCTGGAGCAGGCGCTGCGTGGGCTGACCCTGGCTCCTCAGCACCTCGTAGAGATGGGCATAGCCAATGCGCTCCTTAAACACCTCCTGCAAGCACGCACATAACATGAAGTCCTACAGAAGCCCTAGAATGAGCTGCATCACCCCAAGGCATTTCTTTGGGGTGAAAAACCCCAACCCCATCTGTGCTTGGGGACATCCTCCTCCCATTCCCACCTTTGCAGAGGGTGAGTTGCTCATGATGGCCGTGAGCACACTGATGGCATGGACTGCGATGGCATCAGAGCCGCTGTCAAAGACCTGTGGGACAGGTGGTGGGTCAGCTGTAGGCACCACCCCTAATCCTACCAGGCAGCTGAGTGTGGGGTAGTTTCTCAGAATACCTGCTGGAGCCCATTGCTGGCTGGTGGCTGCACAGAGAGCTCATTGTAGGCTTCACCTGCATCCTGTGGACTGTTGAGGTAGAGCTGGGGCAAGGAAGACAAAGACCAACAGGAGGTGGGAGGGGGGAGAAAAAATAGGGTTATGCACCATTCCTGCCCTGCTCTGGGGTACAGAGATGGTGCTGGAGTGGCTCCATCCCAGCAATGCTTGGGGTGTTGACAGTCAAGGAGACTGAGAATGGTGCAGATGAGGATGCTGCAGTGCACGCAAGAAAAAATGCAAGAATGACTTTTTACACGGACAGACAGTGATAGAACAAGAGAAAATGGTTTTAAACTAAAAGAGAGGAAATACAGGTTGGATGTTAGAGGGAAATTCTTTACATAGACTGCTCAAAGCAGCTGTGATCCCTGGCAAGGCTGGCTGGGGCTTTGGGCATTTGGTCTATGGGATGTGTCCTTGTCCATGGCAGGGGGTTGGTACTGGATAGGCTTTAAGGTTCGAACCATTCCAAGATTCTGTGGTTCATTCCATGATCCCATCTCAAATCCCAACCCTGCTGTGTGCAGGCATACTGCAGCACTTTGGTACCTTGCTGTTCTGGAGGAGGCGGATGATGTGCTCGAAGCAGTTATTGCTCAGGAAGACAGCTTGCAGGACCGGCCGGTCATCACAGCTCAGCATGGCTGGGATGGCATCTACAATGGGCAGAGTGGGGAACAGGGCTCAGCACCCACCCCACCACCCTGATCTCATGCTCCCCAACCCTGATCCCCAAACCCCAGCTTACCCAACATCTGTACCCGCAGTGCGATGAGCCCTCCAGCCACCTCTGGTGACACAGTGGTGGGGTCGGCGTTGAGCACTCTGAAATAGCCATCCAGCAGCATACGCAGGGGCACAGGGCCAGGGCTGCTGGCATGTAGGGCATGCACTGCTGCCACCACACTACGCAGTGTCAGTCCCAGCAGCCCAAAGCACGGCGGTGGCCCTGAGCTCACCCGGCGCAGCACTCCCAGCAGCACCTCCAATGCTGCCGGTGTAATGGCTTGCAGTGGGTTGGACTGTCAGGGACAAAAGGAAAACAAAAAATAAAAACAGATCTCTTTTTAATTTGGCATAAAATCCCATATTTAAACCAGGTCAGGTATACAAGGCCAGGTTGGATGGGGCCCTGGGCAGCCTGGTCTAGTATTAGATATGGAGGTTGGTGGCCTCGCCTGCGGCAGGGGGGTTGGAGCTTCATGATCCTTGAGGTCCCTTCCAACCCAAGCCACTCTGTGATTCTACGATTCTATGAATCTATGATATCTGCACAATGCATTGCTACTTTCCTGCCTGCTTCTGGGATATGCAAATTAACTCCAAGCACATTTCAGAGCTGTTAATCAAGCTCTGCTTCCTTAAGCACTGGGTTGATTAGAACTTGCGTGTGCTCAGTGATTTTTCCAGCTGAGATGCTCTCAGCTGCATCCCAGATCTGAACTTGTTCTTGCTGGTGAGCAAGCTCTGCTGGGTCAGTTTCAGTTTAGATATCTCCTTAACTTCATTTTTGCTTTTTAAGGTAAAACCATAAATTTTGGCTTGCAATTTTAACTGTAATTCTATAAGGCTTTGCAGAATTAAGGTGTTTAATTGCAGCAAAGCATCACACTTGTAATAAATAAGGTTTTGCAATTTAGTCTCAGCAGTTTGGGGAGTGAAGGTTTGGCAAAGCAGTGTTGTCTCCCATGCCCCCATTCCCACCTTGGCCCCAGAGAGGATGGCTCCAAAGAGGTGGATGAGCCGGAGCTGGAGCTCGTCGGAGAGCTGCCCACCAGGCTGGAAACATTCTGCAAGTACAGGAGAGGTAGCAGAAAATAAGAGGCAGAAATTCCCCTTTCTACCCACCCCATAACCCACACTTGACCTTGTTGCTGATGGAGGGGGGAGGGAGCGCAAACCCCTCAGCTATTTTCAGCTTTGGCTGCAGCATGGGGAGATTTCTGTTGTAAAATCTAGAGGTTTTGGTTCTAAAATCAGGTTCAGCTGGGGAATGGGGATTCACAGCCAGCACCACTAACAGCTTGCTGGGACTTTAGGTGCTTTCTGCAGCCCCCTAATAAGAAGGGGGTTTCTATTTCACAGGTCAGTGATGGGGTTTTTAGAGCTTCCCCAGCCAAGCTGTGTTTCTGTCAGGTGCTAACCAAAACAGGCCCAGCACTGTACCCCATGGTGGGCAACCAATGGATTTAAAACTCAGCATTAATCACGGGATAATAAAAAGACTTCAGACTTCAGGGATTGCTGCCCAGACCACACAAAGCAGGGGGGTTGCAGGGAGCAGTGATGGGTGTACCTTGGAAGAAGGTGTCGAACTCGGGGGGCAAAGCGGCGGGGGCGAACTTGTATTTGCTCTTCTCCTTCGTGCTGACAACTTCTCTGGAAGGAGAGGAATGAGGAGCAGGGAGAAGAGGGGTACAGGATGCAGGGATCCATGCCCCTGGTGCTCACCCGCTCAGCTGCCGGCGCCAGGTCTGGTAGGGGTCGAAGAGGCACTCGCAGAGGTGCAGGGCATACAGCATCACGCTCTCCAGCTGCGCCCTATCCTCCTGGCCACTGCGTAGCTGCCGGGGGCAGGCAGAGAAAGATGAACCTCAAATAACATCTCTAAGACCCTCCTATTTCAGCTTTGTCCCATTGGGATTCATCCCAGTGCACAAAGATGCCACAAAGTGGTACCCAAGCATCCTTTTGCCCCCAAATGGTACCCAATAGGATTTAAGCCTGCACCCCAAACGCTTGCCCCCATTCTACTTCTTCCCTCCCCTTTGCTATGATTTGGGGTGCATACAGAACAGCCCCTTCCTCGTCCTGCCCCCATATCTGCCCTCCCAGCACTGGGGATTGGGGTCGTGATGATGGCAACGCTCACCTTGCTTGCACACATCCGCAGCAGCGCCAGCACCTCCAGGATGAAGCCAGGAGTTTTGTCGGTTTGGACATTTTCGAGGTTTCTGCAAGGTGTAAATGCCATGGGGAAGGGGTGGTGGGGGAATAACACACCTAGAGAGGGGGATAACTGCCGACCAAGGCCACGTCCTGGGCTGACCTCATCCTCCCACGCTACGCAGGCAAACTCAAAGCCCAGTGCAGTCCCATTGTTCAGGACCTGGCTCCTATCCAGTGCTAAATATAATGGCTTTGGTGGCTGGGAGGGGGGACAGAAGGACAGTCCCCTTGCCGGGGGGGGGGCCTCTAGGGATGCTTCAGCAAGCAGGGATTGGGTGGGAGCAAGCACAGGCTGCCATCAGCACAGCCTTATCTGCGGTGTACAGGCAGCGGCGCCAGGAGAGCAGCGGGCAGGAAGGGGCCAGACGGCCACAGGTTCCCCCCCC